AAAATAACTGTCGCAGAGGTAGAAATAAAAGTAAAACTAACATGCAGCAGATATGTCTTCGTCTTCGTTCTTTTCGCCGGTGGTTCACCAGATAATGCCGTTTTAGCTAAAAACCATCAATCACATCAATTTAAGCGCATTTCTGTTCCGTCAGTGAAATCCGATTCAAGCGGTGGTGTCCCTGTTGGTTTTGTAGGTTCATTATGGGCTGACAGAAGATTTCTAATTCCCTCGTTATCCACGTCAATAAACTTGTTTAGAAGGCACGATTCCGGAAAAAGAAGTTGAAAAGAACTCTCTGTATTCTGTTAGTGTCACATTCTAGACATCCATAGATTTTACTGAGTCGTCTGGCCTACCACGTGAATCTGTGGATTGTGCTGCAAATTCTAGCATACCGGTTCAGAACTCAAGGATACCGATTAAAGTGTGCAGTAAAGACCAAGCAGTCATTAAATGACGTTCACTGACGGTTTCCGGAAAGGCCACAGCGACTTCACGCACAGTTTATGTACTTTTGCAGAAAATCACTGTACCAACAGTCGTATTGATGATAGTTTTTTTGAGTACTTTCAAGAGCTTTTTGAGAGAGAAGAGACATGAAGATATCTTTCGAACATCACTATGGAATTTCTAATCTGTTATGGTAGAATGAAGACAACAGTTTGACTTTAGTATAGCTTGGAGCTGGAGCTACATCGCTTTGAAGTTTCGTTCTCATACATCGTCGACTGTGATAACAGTTGCGTGGATGTGTATTTCAACCTCGAGGCATATGTGTAATCTTCTCTCCACTGCCTCGTTGCCACTGGCAGTCTAGCAACATCAGCAGAGCGGCAGCCACTTAAGCTTTTACTTCGAGTTGCTGGGCTATAGTTTGCCTCTTGTTGGTCCTTTGCCGAACTTCCAGGACATTCATTCTCATGAATTTTGAGCGTTCTCTTCTAATAGATCAGCAGTTGCCGCTTGTCTTTCAGCATATCAGCAGCTGCTGCGACTGGTCCAGAAATCACTGCACGGTGCAGAAGGCCGCACCTGAGGCTGCTTTCCAAACCCTTCTCTCTGCACGGAGTTTTGTGTCGCTCAGCTGCAATTCTGTCACACCTGCTTGTCCTTTTAGGCATTTTGACATCTTATGCGCGATATTTTCTTGAACTGCAATTCACGGTGCTGCGCAGCGTGCTGTTTGGCTGCAACCCGCTGTATTTTAGTAGTATTTCTTCGATTCCATTCGCTCAGTTCGCTGTTTCATCAAAAAACAACCTTCATCAAAGTACAAAAAATTGCGCATTTTTCATCACATTATCATCCATCACTCCCATTTCGACAGGAGCATCCAAGCAGCCTGAATAAGTAGAAAAGAACGGCTGCCCTACATCCTTTTTAGCACTGATATACTTTTCGAAATAACGTAGCAGGTGGTATGCCCGAAATTGGAAAGCAGAGTCAAGCGGAAGATAGTGTTGGTGCGCGGTCGCTTGCATCGCTACGAAGCAGCAATGGGAGTGCTGTTTTCAAGGATCATCGATCATCCATAAGGTTTCTGGATTCGTCCTCACACCTTTAAAATCATCGTAACTGATTTTTAAAATCTTAAAAAGCAGTGTGCGCCTAAACCCTATAATAAGCATTAAAATTTCTTGTTACATTTTTCATGATTAAACTACGTTAGGAGCCGGGACAAGTACCAGCGTATGTAAGCATCCTGAGTATATTCTGACTTGCAAAATCAAACTGTCCTGATCACTTTATGTTGCTTACTTCGCCCGGATTCGGGCACTGTGTGATCAGCAGCAGTATATCAAGCATAGCCTTTCACCTTCTGTTCTGGTACAACTGTCTTACCCGCATGGCCTTCTAATAATTACACTCTCATTGCGAGCGTAAGGTCGTGATGTTTCAAGAAAAAGTGGCGTAAAAAGCGCGTTAAGTATCGCATCCCGTAATTATTCAAATTATGAACCTCACCTTTTGAATTTTCGAGCTTCATTTCATTATGAAGCTGGACCCATGAAAACAGTTGCCACTCTATCCTTGAGTGTAGCTGAAATTTTTGGCCTTAGAATCGATGAGGATGAAAAGGCATTAGAACCGACGAAGCTGCTAAATCATATCGAAAAAGCAGAAAGAAAATAATTGGGAACGTAAAAATTATGTTGTATTAAAGATAATAGGACTTGAAAACTAGGAAGGAAGATCCAGACTGAATTACATTTTGTCTCTGTCAAAAACTGGATGCGCCACTGTGATTTTCCCATAAGAATTTGTTACGTAGGTGGACGAAAGCGACTAATTTGGTGAATTGCGAGTAACCCTTCCCTTCACCATGGCTTTTTTTATGCCTCACTGGTTGAATATGAAGCTTGATAATGGGTGATTGCGGGTAATGACAGAGTAAAATGTTGTTCAGTGCCCAGCCGGCTGAGTTAGATAATAGATGTCTTCTCAAGCGAGCTCATTTCCGACGAGAAAACGAAGAGCATCCAAATGAAGGGTTCATAGTGTGGGGCATGTTTGTGTCGACCGAAAAAAGAAAAAACGGATTCAATCAAACGGTATGCATAATTCATGGCTGGTAAGGATAGACGTTGGAGGGGAGAAGGCAAGTTCCGATGGAGCTAAGCCTAGTGCTGCGTAGTCCTGGATCTGTTGAAGCGGTCGTCCCTTCTGCCTCGTTATCTCAATGTGCTGCTGTCTGGAGTGGATGTGGGAAGAGAGCAGTGCTCAAAACTGCAAACTGGAATAGTTTTTCTCATTTGTGACGGAGAATGAGCGAGAAATAAAACTGGACTCAGATTTCCATATGGGTTTTTGAAGTCGCAGTCTAGGTTTGACACAGTGAAGCTTTTTTTGCAAGCCCATAGCGAACAGATCAGTGTTTGTACCAGATTATCCACACTAGCTCATAGATGGTTATCGCTCTCTTCGTACGTGAGTAGAAGAAAAGACTTTCAAAAATGAGTTTTGAAGAAGAGTGCCTGTCAATTTGCTGGCCTTAATGTGCTGACAACAAGGAGCTTGATAATGATGACGACGTTATTTGTATGTGCCTTACGGGACCCAGGCCACTACACCATCAACATTCCTGTTCTCCTAGCAATACTCAATTTAACTAGCCAGTGACCCTCTTCCTTCCCCAGCCGCTTTTCTTATTCCGGAACATATCGCATTTCGTTTTGGGGATATTTGTTCCACCGAATAGCAGTTTGTCACATACTCACATGCACACACACACCACACACCACACACACACACACACA